CATTCATTCATTCATTCATTCATTCATTCATTCATTCATTCATTCATATTGTAGCCCTATCCTACAAAAATTGCTTCCTTGCAATCTAAGGTTGGCATTACTAACCGTTCTGCCACAACGATTGTTATGCAGATTCATTAAAGCACGGGCATCTTTCACGGTTTTCTCTTTGGCATCCACAAAGTCCTTTGCAAACTTTATGCCATAATTGATGTTGTCACTGCAGCCCCCCCAGTCAAAGTCCCCTCTGTCATCCTTTGAGCGGCCCCGCTTATGGGGGTCACAGTTGCAGGCTTTCAGCTCGCCTTGGCTGCAGGCCCGGGTGATGGCATATACAACTCCAGCTGAGGAGATTGCGTAGACAAAGGCTGCTTCTCTACTACCTGCCATATAGATAAAAGAAATAAACACGAGTGAGTCAGGAAATCGCTAGATGGTTTTGAAAAGAGCACATAGGTTTGTATATTGTTTGGGTATCTTATTGTATTTTTAATCCTCCTAATAACTTAATGGTTAGAAATCATTGGAACTATGGGTACATGCATGCTTTATCTTTACATGCCAAAATAAGAGATGTTAAGAGATGTGTTAAGAGAATAACAGATGATTCAATCAATCCTTTGGAAGATGTATCTAGCTCAACAATAGAATACATATTTGAAAAATAAAGCCTTTCCCATCCATGTTCAGTTCCTAACAGTTCCAAGTAAAAGGCTCTTGGGTAGCAAGAACAGAAAAAGATAATCTACTAACTGCAGAAAACATTTTTAAAGAACCTGAAAATATGACATAACAGTAACACTACAGATACTTATCTCATCCACTAAAGCACAATTGAGATAATGCTTGTATTGTCAATGAACAATCAGTTCATATTCTAGGAGAAGCTAAACTAAGGCATGCCAAGCAAATATTCTAAAATATTTTCTGGATCAAAAGAGGGATTAGAAGTGGATAAACCAAAGAAGAATTAAACTCAAGTTATTATAAAAATTCATCTGATGACAATGCCAGAAAAAATAGACTTCTTAGCTATGTACTATCTTACAAAAGTATAACATTCAAGGGTGTGAGTCCTAATTAGGAAAAAATGTTCTGGCCAAATAATTTAAAATATTATTTTCATTTTGTTTTTTATGCATTGGAATGGATAATTTAGATATTTCAGTTTGTACTGTCTCTATATCAGTGCCTTTGGTAGGATGGGAGGACTTTATAAATTCCAGAACTGTAATCTGAACACAGCTGAAGGACATTATATGGAAAAAAAACTATCGTGGGTTCTGTGTTACAGTTTTCAAGTTTTTCCCTTGCTTATCTATCATCACTGTAGAAGCTGCTTGATTTTAGACTATTCTTTGAATATAGTGAGCAACTATTATCCCAATTCATTCACATCTGGGACTGGGGAGGGGGGAGATGTTTGGTTGGAAAGACAGAGTTCTTCTTCCCAGAAACATTAAATTGTTTGGCAAGTCCCCATATACCACAGACTACTAACTAATATTTTATAGATCTTCTCTAAATTTGCACCTGGTTTTACAATGGTTGTAAAAGCAAGAGCAAATCAAAAACATACCACTGTATTCTACAAGAACAGCCTATATACAATCACTTTTATGCAAAGCAAACAATGCATTTTATTTGCCTTAAGGGAAACCAGGGAGGTCTCTTTGCAGAAGATTTGGCTATCTCCCCATTTCTCCAACCCAAGCATCCCGAATCCAGGTAGCTAATTTGGATGTTATGCCTGGGGAATTCTGGGAGTTGAAGTCCACATAAATTCAAGATGCCAAATTTGAGAAAAGCTGCCTTACAGAATATTCCCTGACCTTTGATACCGGTACACTCTAACTAAAGCAAAATTCTATGATTAGTAGCAGAAACACCAGAAAAACGTATATTAACATATATTCTTTCAAAGGCGGATCACTTGTTAAAACATATCTATGCTATTTTGTATTATGCAACATCCAAAAGCAGTTTACAATAATTCCAAAAGAGATTTCAGGCTTAAACAAAGTAAAACTAAATTAAAAACAAGTTGAAGAAAACCCCTTAAAATCAAAATTTCAGTGGGAATTATGGCTGGAGAAGGACTGCAATAAAAAGCAAGCTTTTGAAAGGGATATAAAATGTGTTGGCACTAAAGGGGAGGTTGCATTAGACATTACCATGGAAAAGCTCATTTGGTACTGCTGCTAGGATCCTAACTGCCTAAGAGACTTACATACTTGGAAAAATTGTAAGGTCCCAGAACTGTTTAGAGATTTATGTACTAACAGCAACACTTTTTACGTAACTCAATAAGCAGATTGACAGCCAGTGGAAGCTCTTTTAGCACAGATGAAATATTGATACCATAACAACTCTGTTCTGGAACCCAGTTTTTGTATTCTATATTATTGTAGGTTCCAGATAAGTCCAAAAAGCAGACCTTTTGCGATCTTTAAAATGCTAATGTATGAATAATCATAGCAAATTATTTATGTCCAGAAATAGTGCAGCTGATCTATAGCCTAAGCTTGAAAGGATTGTAGGAACACCTCCTAAAGCAGGGGTGTCAAACTCAAATTCATTGGGGGCTGCATCAGGGCTGTGGTTGACTTTGGGGGGGCGGGCATGACTGGGTAGGTGTGGTCAACTGGTTGGGTGTGGCCAGCTTGACACCACTTCCCAAACTCCTAGTGTCGGGATTCAAAGAGTTGACCGGTTTATCTCCTGAAGTGAATCCCGACACATTATCTTGATTGGGGAATGAAAGTCCGATCCTGCCGTTTACAATATATCAACTTGATCAGAAAACGTCTCTTACTTTTGAAGATCCCATCCCAGTTCGACTTATCTCGTATCAGTACGAACATGCAGACAAGATGGGGTGGGAGAAGATTTATTACTCCAACTCCTCTCATTACCCGAAACGAAACACAATCATTGGGGAAGTTGCGGCACAACCTGGGAATTGAACCCACATTCTGTTTGGTAATTAGTTGCATTTAAAGTTGTGGGGTGGAGGCATGTAGGACTAATGGGGAGGGCAGATGTTAGTTAGCTGCATAGGGTGGGGCTGCATGATAAATTGCACTGAGAGACGAATGATCTCAGTGCTGACTTTATCCAGTATATCTGTTGTTGCCATGTTTGAAGGAAAACGAGCAAAAATAAACATACCTATTCACAACAAAGCCTGTAAGTAATATAGTTTATTGCTAGAATTCCAATGTGTACAAATGAAGGCTTACACCTATCATGTTTCTTCTTTGCATTGGGTAAACTGGGCGGAAGTTACACTGGCTTGCTCTTTTCTCTTTATACTGGGTAGACTGGGCTGAAACTACACTGGCCTGATCTTTCTTCGCACTGGGTAGACTGGGCTGATCTTTCCTCTTTGCATTGGGTAGACCAGGATGGCCCCATGACCCAACCACATTGCAGGCCGGATCTGACCCGCGGGCCTTGAATTTGACACCCCTGCCCTAAAGTGTGAAATTCCAAGCATAGCAGGGAACACCTTTGTTTTTGGATTTAGAAACTTTCCTTCTTTCATCTTTTTATGCTTTCCACCCCTACCTCACCCAACCTGGTGTGTTCAAGTTGTTTTGATCTAGAGATATTTAGCTTGGTGTCATCCATACAAATGATGTGTTGCTTCAGATCCCCGCCATGACCACACTCAAGTGTGTCTTCGTACTAAGCCTGATAGAAAACAATTCTATGATTTTTCAATGCTATTCTCTCAGACAGGGGCAGAAGCTGTTTCACAGCTGCCATGATTGATGGTATTAGAAGCTGCTAAACTATCAAGCAAGTATTCCTTCTTCATCAGGACAGTCAAGTTGGATTCTATCCCATAACTCAGACTGGAGAAATAATCATCATTTTCCCCAAATGCTTAGAGTTGACTCAGTAGCTGCTTTTTTAATCACCTTGTGTCAAATGGGATGATTTTCATTGGTGCAAGTGTTATTCTGTTTTTAATTAAGCATTAAAAACAGATTTTTTTTAAAAAAAATTAAAAATATAAAGCAATGTTGTAAAAATACAAAAGATGAAGAGTTCCAAGATGGGGAGGTTAGCAGTTGTTAATACAGACGGGTGGGGATTTCTCATGGGACAGCCAGTCACACAGTTTTGTGAGCCCCTGTGTACCAAGAGATTGGGAGCATGTTTTCCATTGAAAAGTTGACTATATAAAAACATGTCTATGGAAATTCTCAGTAATCCAGATCATAGTTTTCTCAAAGGTGCTTTTTTTTTTTAAAGGCAACTGGACTGTTTTTGAGAAGTAAAAACTTCTTATCCAAGAAGTTTCATCAATTGAAAACATAAAGACATAAAAACACATATGCACACCTTTTCAGGCGTGAAAGAAGGATAATCTCAAGCTGTGAAAGAAGGATAATTCAAAGTATGCTCATTCTCCATGTTTTGAAGTGATTTTTTTCCCTGCACATGACCCCAATGTGTATTCTAAAATAAAAATAAGAAAACTATGTTAACACTGATTAAATTCCTCCATTACAGGGAGATCAACTCTGTGACATGGGCTTTTTGTTTGGTGGCAGTGCAGCAAGCCTTCATATTTCCACTTCTCTTAAATTTCTAATCAGGTTTTTATCTCTCTTCATTCTGGTTTTAATTCATTTTTAAAGTGAATTAGAATTTTAGTTGCCATTTTTGCCTGGTTTGTTTTCAATCATAAAGAAAATAGAATGGAAAATGTTCTCTGTTTTAAGACTAGCTCCTTTCTGGACTTTTAAATTTAATATTTGCATTTGTTTGTAGTTTTCATTTGTAGTCTATATTTTAATTACTGTCAGTTATCTTGGGGGCTGAGCTGAGTAGAAAGGTGGACCACCAATCAAAATAATGAATAAAAACCTATTTAATGAATTGGAACAAATTTGCACATACTACTTTTCTTCCCAAACCTGAGGCATTCCAGGTATCTTGGGATCAGAATTCAGAATTGAATTTGTCCAATTATTAAAATTGTCTTGATCTCAAATATTAAAATTTAGGTTCTTGCAATCAAATAATCAAATTTACTAAATAAAGAAAACACCGTATTTTAATTTTGAAGAACTACTCCAAGCTCTGTTGTTTACAATTTCAAGAGGGCAAACTTTAAACTCTGTAAGCTTGTAAACAAGTGATAAAACTTGGTGCCAATCCTGTATTTTATGCAGTGAGAAAAGCAATTTCTTCAAAAGGGTTGGGTCATTTCTGATTAAAAGAAGGTTACAGTTCTTCATGGAAATAAATCTCACTGAATATAACAGGACTTCTGAGTAAATAGAGTAAAGAATTCCTCATTACAACATTTCCACCATACTGCAAACTTTTCCTTAAAGTTCAAAAGCATGATAAAATGATAAAACATAATCAGCTCCAGTGAATTTATTTTCCATTTAAACCTAAATATGCCAGTTGTGCCTTAAGAACTGTAACAAGTCACCATCTGAATCTATCATTACCAACCTTTTCTAACTAGAAGCAACTGTAACTAAGTCTTACAGTTTGCTGATTTTAACTAATGGCTAAAGAGTTTGGAGTGAACAATCAGTATTTCAAAGCTGTTCTATAAAAGCTGTGATTAAGAGAGGCTTTCTCCTCTAATGATCACCAGCTTCGAGGGCTTTCTAAAAAGGTTAAAATTCAAAAGTACAAATTTATCAACAGATGAGAGCTACATCTTCTGCAGACATAGACCTTAACAGATGTTAAGAGAAGAAAGCAGGGAAGGGTAGTTCCCATCATAACATGTTTGTGAGGCTATCCACGGCATCTGGATGAACACTGATGGAAAAGAATTCTGAGAAAGTCTAGCTCAGAAAGCAATTTTATCAGTGGGAAAAAAACAGGAAGAGGAGGAAGAGGGACTAGTTGTTTTACTACAACACTTGATATTAAATTTTTGTGCCCAAGAACAAAATTAAAGCAATGCAGCATCCCCACATTTTTATTTCAAATGTAAAATCAAAGCAACATTGAAGAAAGATAATGATCTATTTATTTAGTATATAGCAGAAGAGAGAGAACGATAATGCATATACAAACAGAGAGGGGGGGAAGGGAAGGGAAGCGAAGGGAAGGGAAGAGAGGGAAATTCATACTGCCTTATCTCTCTAAACTGATAAAGGGACTTACTTCGAAGCATGACTCTGCCAAAAACGGTGTGGTCTCTGTCCAAAGTGCTGCAGTTCCAACGATGGTGACGGAATTGATGCTGGCATTCCCGAATCCACTCTTTAGCTCCTTCCCCTATGGATTGCATGATATCTGGGTAACTCTGGCACAGGTGCCGCTGTTTATTGACTAGTCCTGGTATGTTATCACAGATCACTCTTGTGCCCAGGGCCCCAATATACCTGTAGGGATATAAATAATGTCTGTGAAATTATCAGAACTCAATAAAACAGTTAATGCTATTAACGAATGAAATGAATAGGTAGCTACAGACTTCCTTAATACTTCCATTTTCTTTCTCAGTCTGGCACAAACTGCTCATAGTTTCCTGTCAAAACACATTTCTCTAATGCTATGTATCCCACTTTTTTTCACTGCATAAAGATAAATTTAAATATACCAACACTGAAGCAGTTAAAATTTTATGAATATAGTTGCATGTAGGAGACACATTTATCTAGTTAACAAGACAATAATCAACAACAAAATGTTTTGCAATGGCAATACAGAAAACTTTAAAAAGGTAATATTTTGAAATCCATTTGTAGGCTTATATCTTCAAATATTTGTTAACAAGATTATTCACGATTATGTCAATCTTTAATTCCACGTAATATTATCATTGCCAGGCTGAAAGTCTGATAGTACTGTCATAACATGGATCCATAAATAATTGGCTAACCAAATGCTCAGAAAGTCAACATTCATGGCTCTATATCAGGATGCAAAGCATTAATAGTGGGTTTCTGCTAGGATTTTTCTTTTTTTAAAAAAAAAAACAAGTTTTATTGATTTTACAAACAAACAAACAAACAAACAAAACAAAACATCATTAAACATTAAAAACATAAAACCTCTTTCTATTGTAGATCTTTACAAGGCAGGTAACATATTGCTTTATATCACGTACTTATAATTTATCCCATTTCCATATACACACGTAAATTCCCTTTACCAAATTCCACATTGTTTCTCTTTAATCATTATTCAATCATATTTCCTTTCTAATTTATCTGGTATTCAGTCATCACATTTATATTTTCCTCTGGCTTGTTTATAATTATTCTCATCTAGTCTTCCTCCGAGATTTTATTATTTAATTCTTAATTAAACACACACACATAATACATAAACATAAAAACATAAAACTTTCTTCTAGAAAGTAACTTGGCCCCAGATTACCTCTTTTTGTATGGACTTCAATTGAATTCATGCTCTTCTTATATACCATTACCCTTCTTATTTACCATTCTATATCTATTATATAACTCCTCTCCACTTTTGCCTCATCTTAATTCTGTTTTATATATTTAATCTTGCTTTAAAGAAAAATATTTTTATATCTTTTGTCCATTTCTCCATTTACATCTGTCTCATTTCCAATTTAAAAAAGAATAGTTTCCCCTGGAATCACTAATCAGAGTATGATGCCTTTCTATCATTCCCCTGAATTAAAATTTAAAATAACACCTAAATCCCAATCAGATTCTGCTTAGTACATTCTACTATTTCAGAAACCAATACTACAATAATAAATCCATAACAGTCAACACATATTTAAACTATATTTAAACTAATATTTTAAACATTCCCTTTAGTATTTTATTAAAACTTAATATCATTCATTATTAAACCTTTTAAAGTTATACCTTGATATTTTAGTCTTTTATTAGATCTTAAAAAGTTCTGATTATCTACTTATAATACAAATACCACTATTACAATACTCATGTGTACTTTGCAGAATCCCCCTTTTTTTTAAAAAAAAAAAATCCCATATATTACCCATTATCCCTAAAAAAAATTTCCTTTTCTCTATCTTGTTTTATACCTTTGTAACTTTTTTCCCCCTTTTCCCTTTCCTTCTTAGCCCGCCTAAACTTTTTACCCCCTCCTCTCCAAACCTCTGCCTTCTTGATTTCCCCTTTCTGTTGCATTCCTCTTTCCTTTTGCTTTCTAGCATTCTGTTGTTTTTGCATCTTCTTTTTCTCTTTCATAAACATTTTTTTTATTTCTTAAGTCCTTCCTTTTCGCTCCTCTCTTTCTCCTTTCTTTCTTAGTCACACCGTTTAGTTAATTAAAAATGGCTTCTTCTTCCTCGGCTTCTTCCAGCTGTTGTTTAATTTGCTGACACATGACAAGCGCCATATCTAGGAAACAAAGGGCTTCTCCCATAACATCTTTGCCTTCTTTCTTTATTTTTAAATATTGTTTTTTTAGTTCATCAAGAGATAGAGCCATTTTAGACTGTTTCTTCTTCTCTTTCTGTATCCTCTTCTTATTATTAAACCAATCAGTTATTTCCAAACTTAAAACAGTTCCCAAAAGTCCCAAAATCCCACAGTTATCAAACAGTCCAGGCAGAGTACAAGCTTCTTCTTTTTACAATTTCTCTTCTAGGGGTGAAGTCAAATTAGGGAAAGAAAAAATGTCCAATCTGTGCTTTAAGTCTTTCTTAGAATTAATTTCTATTCTCTTTATCTTCAAGGCATCTCCTCCAGCAAAGTCTTAGAGTAAAAATTTATTTTCCCAAGCCTCTCCCTTCCCACTTATAACAAAGGAGTTTAGGTTTTACCTTCTATCAAAAGGCTGGTTTCCCTTGTCCATTTGTTAATTCCATAAGGGAGGGAGAGTAACTTCCCCTTTTCGTCACTTTTCTTCGCAGCTGAAAACATCAATCGGGAACATTATAACTTCCAAGCCAATAGTTCCTAGGTGTTAAATATGTCCTTAAGGTCCCAGTTCGACCAAGAAAAAACTTTCGTTTTAAAACTCCTTCTTCCTCCTGCGTATTCTTTATCCAGTTGCCGGCTTCTTTATGGTGGCCATAAAGACCACCGCTCCACCGTCTTGAGAGAAGGGGGTTATTGCCGGCTGGGGAGGGTTGCGATAGCCCACACCCCCTGTCCGGATCCCCCCTTTCTTCAGCTGCCCCAACAGGGCAGCCTTAGCCTCCAAATCCATCAGGATCGGAGGCACCAAGGCGGCTAGCACAGCAGGGATCGCAGAGAAGGCGAATCCCTGCTGTCACCGAAGCCGACAAACCGGAATTTTTGCTAGGATTTTTCTTGAGGGCAGTATTATTCAATAGTTTTAATAATGACCTGGAAACTGGAACTAATGAGCTGCTTCTCAAACTTGCAATTCTACAAAAAGATGGAGGAAATTGGTTTTCTGCACATTCCAGGTTGGGCAAGATGATCCTTGTAGTCTCTTCTCATTCTATGATTATGGGATTAAAAATTGAGGAAATAAACCTGAAGGAGAGTGGGAAAAATGTATCTGATCTTTAAAGAATTATGGCCTTACACTTAGATATAATTTTGTGGCAATGACAGCGGGGCACTTTCTGATACAATCACGATATTAAGTTTCACCAAGAACTCTTCTGAAGTATAATAACAAGAAGAAACATGCAAATAATTATTGGGCTCATTTTTAATGAAACAGTTAAATCTATTGATATTTGAAAAGGAAATGAGATCAATTATCTTAGACTTATCTTCTCTTCCCAGAGAATATATGGCTTTTGTCCTTAATAAGCAAATGTATTGTATTATGTTATGATGTTATATAGTGGTGAGATTCAATTTTTTTTACTACTGATTCTGTGGTCATGCTGGGTGATTATATGACTGAGTGGGCATGGCCAACTCAATGTCACTCACATCAAGGGGTGCCTCACCTGGCCTCTCCCTGCTCCTCCCTCTCCCCGCCACACCTTGCTTCATATTGCATGTTATGATGAGAGAGGAAGCTTTTTGAAAGTCTTCCCTTTGATACTAGCCAATAAGATGAGATCTTGCTATCAGAAGACTGATGTACATTTCCAAATAGTGTTTATCGCCATTCTCTTGGTAACACTAAGTGGAGATATTTATAAAGAATAACAGAGTTGGAAGGGACCTTGGAGTTTTTCTAGTCCAACCCCTGTTAAAGCATGAGACCCTATACTATTATGGACAAATTTCTTCTTAAAAACCTCCAGTGATGGTATACCCACAATTTCAGAGGAATTATTGAGTCTATCATCTGCACCTCTATTACTGTCTGGTTTGGTTCTACAACCCAACAGGACAGACATAGACTTCAGAGGATAATTAGGACTGCAGAAAAAACAATTACTACCAACCTGCCTTCAATCGAGGACCTGTATACTGCACAAGTCAAAAAGAAGGCTGTGAAAATATTTGCAGACCCCTCACATCCCGGACATAAACTGTTTCAACTCCTTTCCTCAAAACGACACTATAGAGCATTGCACACAGAAGAACTAGAAACAAGAACAGTTTTTTCCCAAAAGCTATCACTCTGCTAAACAAATAATTCCCTTAACATTGTTCAACTATTACAAAGTCTGCACTACTATTACTGTTAATCTTCTCATCACTCCTTATCACCCATCCCCTCCCACTTGTGACTGTATGACTGTAACTTTGCTGCTTGTATTCTTACGATTTATATTGACTGTTTCCTAGTATGATTTGATTGCTTATTGTATCCTATGACTATCATTAAGTGTTGTACCTTATGATTCTTGACAAATGTATCTTTTCTTTTATGTATACTGAGAGTATTTGCACCAAGACAAATTCCTTGTGTGACCAACCACTCTTGGCCAATAAAGAATTCTATAAAGAATTCTATTCTATTCTATTCTATTCTATTCTATTCTATTCTATTCTAT